TGGTGGGGATGTAAATAAGTAAAGCCATTGGGGAGAATAACATGGAGATTCCTCAAAGACCTAAAATTGAACTATCATATGATCCAGCACTCCCACTCCTGGGTATCTACCGAAAAGATAGAAATGCATTCAGTTAGAAAAACACTTGGACATTCGTGTTTATTGCAGCTTTATTCACTATTGCTAATACATGGAATTAACCCAATTAACCCAATTGTCCAAGATCAGAGGAATTGATTTAAAAAGTGTGGCACATACACACTATGGAAACTACTCAGCCATAAAAAAAAAAAAAAAAAAAAAAAAAAAAGCAATGAGACTGTAGTATTTGATAGAAAGTGGATAACTATGGAAGATTTAATGCTAAGTGAAACTAAGTGAAGCAAGTTAGACTATGAAAATGAGGCACTGTATGTCTCCGTTTAATACATACTGAATATCTGTACTCTGGGAGAAACTTAGAGATTAGAAAGTATAAAAGCATGGGGAACAACTTGAATACTAGAGACAGTGTGGGAGGAGGCTGAGAAATGGGGGATGACAAGAGAGAGTCAAGGGAGAAAGAGAAGCAAAACATTTAAGGGACACAAAAGTGAAAATGTATCTCTATGCTATAAAGATATACAATGATTTAATGTAAAAACAAGAAAATACGTGAAAAAAAATCCTAAGGAAGCAAAGGTAATAGAGGCTGTGCCTGTGTCCACCTCAGCACCAAGTTTGGTGCTTCTCGGGCCTCGTTGTTCTGGAGGTCACATGCACACCTACATGAGCCTGCTGAGTGTGCATATTTTTACAAATTGCTCAACGGAATCATGGGCAGCTTCTCTGCACATTTCAAATCTCACCTTAGTGCCTCTTAAAACAGGAATCCAAAGGGAAAATTTATCGTGTCCCTGGCTTGTCTTCAAACAATAAAGTGGAGAGCAAATGAACAACCACAGGTTTTTCCAGGACCTAAATAAACATTCTCACAATAATCCTGTTTTCTTTTTTGGGTGTCTTGATATTACCCGATAACAAGGACTTCTGCGTTGAACAAATTCAGAGGGTGACATTACCTAGACTACCATGAGAACATGCCTCCTTGAGTTGTGTCTACATAAGCCAACTATCTGACTCAGATACAGACTGCTGGATAGTCAGGAGGGGAAGACATGAATAGTGTCTTCAGTGTCAGGACACTAGCTGCTCAGGATGTGCTCCACATGTTTTTGGCTAATTGGCACCACAATTTATCAACTAAAGACTGAAAACTAAGATTGTGAGATAAAGATCTGTGTGGAATAAATAACATGTCCAGATAAGCCAAAACAAGGATATTTTCAAAGATGGAGATTTGGGACCAGCAGTTAGTGTAATGGCTATGTCACTGGACTCCCACGTAGTCGACCGCAGTTCGAGTCCCAGACCCAGTGGCTTAAACTCACGCCAGGCATGTGTGCATGCGTGCCCAAGATCCCAAGAGGAGAATGGAGGAGAAGGGATTGCGGCGTGATCATCCCTTCTGGGGGAGTGTGATTTCTCACTTTCTATCTCTCTGTCTCTTTCTGTCTCTCTCTGTCTGTCTGGCAAGCACACGCACCCTATAGCAAAAACTTCTAAAAAAAAAAAAAAAAGGAGATGGAGATTCACCAATTTTATCTAAGCCAATATCAGTAGTTAATTTAAAACTCACCTAATAAAAATTCTGCAGAAAGGAATAATTGAAGATGTTTTTCTTTCTTTTTTTTTTTTTCTTTATTTTTAGGTTTTTGCCATAGGGCACACACACACTTGCCAGAGGGAGACAGAGAGAGAAAAACGTGAAAAATCTTCACCTGGGGGCATGGCTATGCCACAGTGTGCATGTGCCTGGCATGATTTTCAAGCCTGTAGGTCTGGACCTCGAATCTTGGTCAGCCATATGGGAGTTCATTGCCTTAACCATTGCATGCATCACTTAATAACTATTCTTTTCCTTTTTAAAATTTTCTTTCCTTTGTTTATTTTTCTTTTATTAAAAAAATATTCTTTTTACTGGCCAGCTGGTGGTATGGTGATTGAAGCTGTTAAATCCTACATAGCTGACCATGTGGTTCAAGTCCAAGACCTAATGGTTTGGGAAACATACTAGCATCTTCTCTGACCACAATGCAAAAAAAAAAAAAAATCCATCTAATTAAAAGATAGGAAAACAAGCTAAACAGACAACTCTCCAAAGAAGACATGCAAACAGCCATAAAGCATATGAAATATGCTCAACATCCCTCATCATAAGGGAGATGCAAATCAAAGCCACAATGAGAGACCATCTAACCACAGTCAGAATGGCTAAGATTAAAAAAAAAAGTGTTCAGTGTATTCAGATGGGAAAATTCATTTTGTATAATGTAATAATATATAGTGAATAAATATAGAATAAATTTTAATACAAAGAAAAATAGGAACCAGCAGATGACATAATGTTTTTGTGACTGACTCCCATATAGTTGACCTCAGTTTGAGCCCCTGACCCATGCATACATGCCCAAAATCTCAAGAAGACAATGGAGGAGAAGGGATTGCAGTGTGGCCATCCTCCTGGGGGTGATTTCTCATTTTATGTCTCTCTGTCTCTCTGACAGGTACACACTTCCAATAGGAAAAATCTCTCAAAAGAAAGAAAATATTTAATATTTTTTTAAATAAAAATAAATAAAGCATGATTATTGCTGGCAAGGCTGTGTGGAACAGTAACTCTTCTACACTATTGGTGAGAATATAAAGTAGTATAACTACTATGGAGAATAATATGGAAACTCCATATGATCCAGTAATTCCACTACTTGATATATACCTAAAGGATAGGAATATATTCAGTCATAAAAGCACACACGCATTCATGTATTACAGTGTTACAATTTCTAAAACATAGAATCAATGCAAAAGTCCCAGAACAGATGAATGGATTGAAAAAAATGTGGCACATATACGCTACAGAATACTATTCAGACACAAGAAGCAATGAGACCCTAGAATTTGATAGAAAGTGGAGGAAAATGGAAAATTTAATGCTGAGTGAAGCAAGATAATCTCTTAAAAAGAAACATTGTATGTCCCCACTTAATATATACTGGATGTCTGCACTCTATGACAGAAACCGAAAGACTGGAAGGTGATGGAGATCAACTGTAGATACCAAAAACTGCAGGAAGAGGATGAACAATGGAGGGGAGGTGTGGGGGAGGGAAGTAAGCAAGAAGATAAAAAAAGAAGCAAAACCATTTAACAAACACAAAAATGGAAAATTATCTTATGATGATAAGGTATTTGGGAATATCTTTACCTAGATTAATATACAGTATATTCATGCTGAGAAAATTCATTTTGTATGCTATAAAGATGTACAGTGATTGGGACCAGCAGTTAGTGTAATGGCTATGTCGCTGGACTCCCATGTAATCGACCGTGGTGGCTTAAACTCACGCCGGGCGCATGTGCGTGCGTGCCCAAGATCCCAAGAGGAGACTGGAGGAGAAGGGATTGTGGCGTGGCCATCCCCCCTGGGGGGTGATTTCTCACTTTCTGTCTCTCTGTCTCTCTCTGTCTGGCGAGCACACGTGCCTTATAGCAAAAACCTCTCAAAAAAAAAAAAAAAGACGTACAGTGATTGAATGTAAAAAAAAAGAAAAGAAAAGAAAAGAAAAAAAAAGAAAAGAAAGAAGAAAAAATTTAATTAATTCACTCAAAATTGATCAAAGCCTACTCAATTTGCAATCAGGACACTCTAATAAATCTAAGCAATAGGGGCTATTATTGTGTGACTATTGATCATAATATTTCTTGATTTAAGATTGAGATTTCCCAGCTACAAAATAAGTAAGTTGTCCTTCCTGACACCTGAGATCATTTTAAACTGTTTCTAGTCTTCAAAATATGCTCTTACCTCTAACTACATAACAACAATAAAGAAGAACAAAAGACATCAAAATATTAATGTTTAGCCTGGAATTATTTGGCTAATTGACTCTAAAATAGATATTAACAAATATGTTAGTATGTAATTCTTCTGGCTGTTTTCTATAGACACAAAGTAAATTCTTACAGAAGAATTTTCCTTTTTTTAAGAAAAAAATATATTTTATTATCAAGATATTTTCAGTCAAACTTTCTCATCATCACCTTTAAATATGCACTAAGGGAAAAGTAACTTGCAATTCTTTTTTTTTTTTTTTTTTGGAGAGGTTTTTGCTATAGGGCGCATGCGCTCACCAGACAGACAGAGAGAGACAGAGACAGAAAGCAGCGGAAATCACCCCCCAAGGGGGATGACCATGCCACAATCCTTTCTCCTCCATTCTCTCAGGATCTTGGGCACACATGCACATGTGCCCAGCGTGAGTTTTAAGCCACCGGGTCCAGGATGCGAACTGCAGTTGACTACATGGGAGTCCAGCGACATAGCCACTACGCTAACTGTTGGTCCTGCAATTCTTTTTAAATGACACAGAAAAGTCCACCATTCTTTTAAAGTGAGTAAAATGATATACATCAGGCAGCACGCCTAAGCCACCCAGGAAACTTTCACCAGATGTACAGAAAGTTGATTTTCCTTCTTAGTCAGTGTGATCGTTTTTGCATTAGTAACTCAATTTACATCACAACTTTCATGTTTTTTTTTGTTTCCATCAACCCCCTTGTTTGCCATTTCCTCCCTAGACATATACAAGCTCTGTGTCTTAAATGACAACAATAAAAAAAAAAACAGAATATTTGAATTTGAATACAGCCTTTATGACTCTATTCTTACACCACTCCATTCTGCTGAGAGAGATAAATTTAAAATATGTAAATCTATTATTCTGTTTCAATCCTTTCCAACTCCTATTACCTTGAGGATAAAGTCCAAAGCATTATAGTCTAGAAGGTCCTTCCTGATGCTGTATTTATTTATCAGTACTATCCTTGAAACTCTACTCTGTTATTTATTTTTTATCAACTATGTTTCTAAAAACTTTCATCTTAGAAATAGTAAAGACATGCTTGCTTTGGCAGAATATATCCTAAAACTGGAACGATACGAAGATTAGCATGCCCCCTGGGCAAGGATAACATGCAAATTCACGTAGCATTCCATATTTTTAAAAGAAAGAAAGAATAAGAAGGGTATTTTCCCCCTCAAACAGTTGTCAAGAGTTGAACAGAACATCCTGTCACTGCTTTGTTTTGATTTATACAAGTTCCTCTGATCTAATATTTCAAATGTCCAACCATGTTTTCAACCATGGGGAAATAATGAGCATTATATCATTAAAATTTAATATATATTCATTTTCATTTTTAAAAATGCCAAAAAACATCAATTCTAATCCATTTTGGAAATGATTGCCCTTGCAAACTGGCTGTGGACATTTAACACGGCAAGAATAAATCCTGCCTTCTGTGTCCGAGATACAGCCAGTTCCCTACATGCATCATAAAACCTGTGCAGACTGCATCCACAAGCCCTACTGCACCTCCCTCTCCTCTTTCTTCACATCGACCATTTCAAAAGCAGCAGGATAAATTAAGACCTACCCAGGATTCAGGATCTGAGAAACTGGAATCACACTCCAAATAATTAGAAGGTCAAGACAAAAATAGTACTGATATTAGAAGGCAGACTGTTTGGTGCCTGTTATATCCCAGTTGCTTAAACAATGATTTCATTAGCTCTAATACAACATTTTAAAAGAGGAAATGCTAGCCCCCCCTTAAGAAAGAGTGAGGAATTATTTTTTATACTTTTCTTTTGGGGAACTAATGTGCTTTGCCTTGCATAAGGGTAAATGACCTTAGTGTTTTCAGTACTGCACACCTTAAACCAACGCCACAAAAGAAGACAGTGTAATAGAGATTTTTGAAATTAGTCACTCACAATTTTAAAGAATCTTGCCAATTACAGTTTGAACATTTAGACATTACCTAGAATTCATGGCAAATGGATGTTATTTGATTAGTTTGAATACACCAATTCCAGGGCTGGATGTTAATGATTCAAATCATTTTAGTTTATTAATTTTCCCATGCCCTTAATTATTTTCTTTATTATCTCATTATCAAAGATTTAAAATGTGTTTGTAATAAAATAACCTTAATATTAAAAAAAAAAGAGAGAAAGAAAGAGTGGAGAAGACCAGAAAAGTTCAGGGTTTTGCTAAAACCCTCCAACTGGTAAAAAGCAAAGTCAGATTCAAGCCCAGTTTTTACACAAACACTCTTGTTCTGAGCATGATACTAAAATATTTTCCTGTGTCCCTGCCAAATAAAACTGTTATGTAGGTCAATTTACTTTATGTCTTTGAAAATCATATTTTTCCTCTAATATATGAGGATACTATGACTTATATTAAATGTTTTGGAGGACAAAATGTAAAAACATATTTAATGACTCATTCAATCAACTCTCCTATTAAACATGTATTAATTAATAACTGTTATTAAGAAGCAACAATGTGACAGACTCCTTTCTGAGCATTCTAAGTAGTACAACAATGAATAAAAGTCACACAAATTCTTGCCTCCAAGGCATTTTATTTGAGTGGGGTGAAACAATTAGCAAAATAAATAATCAAGAGAATTAATCCTTACTTATGCATGTGGCTTATTTTGCCTTGAATTGAAGCCTATCTAGGCCTAAAAGTGATGGAGCTCTGCTTGTGCGATAGAATGTTGCTATCACCTCAGAATGAGAAGAGCCAGATAATCTACAAAACCGTCATTTTTCTTGACTCTGTTGAAGAGTTGAGGTCACAAGGCAACACAGGGGACTGAATTTCTAGGTAACAATTACCTTCAAGTAGTGGACAGATACATGCACTATGTCACTTCTAACAAGCAGCCTCCAAAGAAATGAGTAGAAATAAACCAGCTAAATTTGTTGCAGATTTCTCAAGGCCAACAGTGCAATGACATGCCAATTCAATGCAACTGCAGCCCAGAAAGACTGTTTTTTCCCACCCAGAATCTCCTTCTTCCATGCCTCTGCTGGGTGCTCATAAAAGACTGAGTAAGGGCGAGACCAGCAGGTGGCATTTCAGTTATATTGCTGGACTCCCACGTAGTCGACTGTGGTTTGAATCCCAGAAACCGTGGCTTAAAACTCACACCATACATGTATGTGTGTGCCCCAAATCTCGAGAGGAGGATGGAGGAGAAAGGATTGCAGTGTGGCCATATCTCCTGGGGCGGGGGGTGGGGGGGTGATATCTCACTTTCTGTCTCTCTGTCAAGCACACACTCCCTATAGCAAAAATCTTTCTTAACAAAAAAAAAAAAAAAAGAAAGAAAGAAAAAGGGAAAAAAAGAATAAGGGTGATACAGGCTAGGAGAAGCCATTCATTAAGTCATAGTCCCATGGGAGCTGCTGATACAAAATAGTCAAAAACACTACCCACTTCCTCAGACTCTGCTCACAAACATTACAAAGATACCTTTGACTGGACCAATATACAGTATATTCATGATGAAAAAAATGTATATAGTATGTTGTAATGATACAGTAATTGAATGTAAAATAAATAATGAAGTAAATGTTTATTTAAAATGTTAATTAATTTCTGACAAGTAATTGATAGGTATATCAAAACTATTGCTATAACAGTAATACACTCCAGTAAACTGAAAAAGAAAAATAAACATTACAAAGATGACTTCAAATCCCTAGAGGAAAAGCATCAACACTTCTAAAACTCAAAGCCATTACTGAAGAAAAGCAGAACCTTCTTTTTGCCAAGGTTAGAAAGCTTTTTTCCTACCCTGCAGAAGGAAGTGAAAATCCAGGGCTTTGTTATTGTTTTTTTAATAGATTTTTGCTAGAGGGCATGTGCACTCCCCAGAGAGACAGATAGACAGAAAGTGATAAATCATCCCCCAGGGGCATGGACATGCTACATTCCCTTCTCCATTCTCCTCTTGGGATCTTGCACACAGATGCCAAAGTGTCCAGCGTGAGTTTTTAAATCACTGGGTCCAGGACTTGAACTGTAGTTGACTACGTGGGAGTCCAGTGACATAAAAAATACGCCATCTTCTGGTCCAAAGATCAGAAATTTTACTGTTATTGTTGATGAGGATGATGATACTTCCTGGAAGAAAGATTGAACGAAAAGCCATTTGTCAAAGGCCATTATTTGAAAAAGCAACAAAAATAATGCAGAGAACAAGAAATCAGAGATGACCTAATGATGGAATTATCCTACAGAGACTATACTAAGTACAGTCACTGTGTTAAAGCTTCAAATGTGCTTAGGTCAAACTGTGTTGGAGGAGTCCGACCCGGTGGGGCTCCAGGACCCGTCTGAACCCTTTGACCTTTGAGCACAGCTTCCGGTTGGTTCAGTGTGTTGGCAAGGCTGCTACTGTATGCCTCCTGACTTTGGAACAATGCTTGGGTCAATTAGCACGTTGGCAAGGCCGTTTGCTATTCGCTCCAGGACCGTGGTAGCCTTGCTGGGAAGTGACCCCCCTCTGACTCCCTGATATACTACTATAAAAGAATTATATAGTTCTCTCATACATCTGTGTGGTAAGATTTCCCAAAAGTCCCCCGACTGCTCCCCTTTACCCTGGCCACTTACTGTTAATTACAGTGCTTCATTGGGCACAATAAAGGGTGTGCTAAAGTCCTTCTTGATCTTTGGAAGCCCCTTCAAGACACATTTAATATAAATAACCTTTTTACATACAATAGTACTAGGCTGAAACTGGCCGAGGACACTCTTGTCCCATGGTAACTAATGTTCTAACAAAATACATAACAGTGGTGCCATATGCTACACAAGTGTGTCCACAACACCATAAACCCATTTTAAAATTTTTCATTAACTTATTAGTCACTTTACCACCAGTTGAAAAAACTGTCCCTGCCCTTACCAAGTGAATAATAACTTCACCCCTTCCGGATAGTAAATATATTAGGATTCCTTAAGTTTTAGATCCCTGTAGAATTATATAAGTATCATTCTTTATGAAAATCCATAAGAATTAATATCTATGCTTGAGATTTTCTTTTAGTAATCATAAGACGGCTGCTGCTGAACATTGGTTGATAGTTAACTCTGCTTGCTGGAATTGTTTCCTGAAACTGCACTGCTTGAAGTTACCAGGAACCTGCTTTCATCAATCAAACAATTGTTGAACTGTATCTATGATTAATAGATCTGCCCTTAATCAAACCCTGAATGGTTTCTATTGTTAAAACTTTATGAATTGATAATTAGAACACATAGCCCCTCTCCCATTCACTTGCATGTATCGTATTTTCAATAAAAAGGCACAATGATTCCTAGCAGTTGTCACTCCTCAGAGAGGAATCTCTGGAAGTGTCTGGCTGAGGACGTGCATGAAAAGGCACTGAGACGTTAGTCTTCCTTTCCTTCCAGCGCTGCCTCTGTTGAGTCAACCCACCCCCACCGAGGCTGGACCCCAGCACTGTGTCTCCCTAAATTGTATGTGGGAGATCATAAGTATTTGTGAATGTGTTCTTAATCAAAAACAGGGTTTTGTACAAAGAATTAGTTAAGTTAGAGTGAGGTCATACTGGGGCAGGCTCTATAGCCTACTGGTTCAAGCAGCTGGATCCCACATGGCCAATCACTCAATTTGAGTCCTGGACCTAGCAGTTTGACAAGCATGTCAGGCATGTGTGAGCATGCCCCAAATCCTGAGGTGAGGGAGAGACAGAGAAGGGATTGCAGTGTGACCATCCTCCATGAGAAATGCTTTCTCCCCTTCCCTTCTCTTTCTCTGTCTCTCTCTGGTGAACACAAACACTCTTTAGCAAAAAGAAAAATAAGTGAGCTACTACTGGATTAAGATTTTCCTTTGGGGCCAACAGATGATATAATGGTCACACCACTGGACTCCAACAGGACTCCCACAGTTGGAGTCCTAGGTCCAGTGTCTTAAAACTCACACCAGGTGCATGATGTGTGCATGCCCAAGATCTTGAGTGAAGAAGTGAGAAGGGATTGTGGCATGGACATCCCCTCAGGAGGTGATTTCTCACTTTCTGTCTCTCTGTCTCTGTTTTGTTGGTGCGTACACATGCTCTATAACAAAAAAATCTCTCGAAAAGATTTACCTTTAACCCAGTACAGCTGG